GCCGCTCCGAAAGCGTCATGGCGAGGCTGGAGAGATATGCGTCGTCTAGCTGGTTCGCTCCGTTGCTACCGGCCTGCTTCTGCAAGTGCTCTGCGACACCGGCGAGGACCCGTGAGATGCCCTCTTGATCGTTTGCGGAGAATAAAAAGACCCTATGGCCTGCCGCAGCCTGCTGCGACGAGCAGCTGTCATTTCTAGAGATTTTGAGTGCCGATGTTCCCGACTTTGTTGCGTGTAAGTAGCCCCTATCACCCAGACCCAGCTTGTCCAGATAGCTTTTGGCGTCGTCCAGCACCACGTGGGCGTTTGTGCCGCCGAACCCGAAACTGTTGATACTCGCCCGCCGGACCCCCGAGGGCCCTGCCTCGAATGGCGTCGGGACCAGGGGCAGCTTGAGACCCCATCTTTCAATTGGGATCCTAGGGTTGATCTTTTCAAAGTTTGTGTTGGGCGGTATCACTCCGTTTTCCAGCACCATGACTGTCTTGATGATTTGGGCCATGCCAGACGCCGCCTCGACATGGCCGATGTTGGCCTTGACAGCGCCTACGTATAGCGACGGCCTGTCGGCCGCCGCCCTCGGTCCGCCGCGCTGGAACACCGCGGCAATGGCGCTGGCCTCGATCGGGTCTCCAGCCGGCGTACCTGTAAAGTGGCCCTCGAGGAAACCTGTGTGGTCTAGGTCGAGGTTGTTGCGGGTGTAAACGTCCCGTATGAGGCACTCCTGGGCCGCTTTGTTGGGCAGCGTGATGCCGCCCGTGCCGCGGCCGTCCGAGTTGACGCCCGTGCCGCGCAGCACGGCGCGGATCACGTTGCCGTCACGGATGGCCGCCGACACGGGTTTGAGGATCAACGTGCCCACCCCCTCGCCGCGGCCGTAGCCGTTAGCGCGCGCGTCAAGCGAATAGCACTTGCCATCGGGCGACACCATACCAAGGCCGCTAGCGCGGAACATGAACTCGGGAGACTCGATTATGTTGACTCCGGTTATAATAGACTGTGTGGGGTTGATTCATCAGTTGACTGCCGCCCTGTCTGTTCCAATGATGGACCCTGGGACGTACGTACCATATCGCTGAGCCCGGCGCGCAGATCCTGGGCCCCCGTGTGCAACGCCACGATGCTGCCAGAACATGCTGTGTCCAGAGTGAAGCTGGCGCCTCTCAGGTCGTAGAACCAGCTCACTCGTGCTGCGAGGATGGCCGCGCTGGTGCCGATTGGTTTATACTTGACAGACAAATCCGGATCCTCTTGTAGGATGGAACGCACGTCATCGGTAAATTGAGCCGCGAACACGCTAGTCTTGCTTCCTTTCACGTCCTCGAGCCGGAGGCCGGCGCTCTCTATTGCCTCATAGACATTTTCCACTAAAGGTTTTGTGTGGTCAGCCTTACGTGCTGTTCAGGGATGCTTTTCGAAGGGGGTTTATTTTCAGGCAAGTCCTCCAAACGCACGCTGCTGGGGAAGTGTAACACCTACTGACTATCCGTTGCTGGAGATCCATTGTTTCCGTCTCTTTGCGGGTAATGTTAAAGAAAGCAGCGTCGAACTGCTTGCCGTTCTGCTCGCCGTCACGCAAGAAATGTCCGCCCTTTACGGTGTTGCTCCCCGCGCGCTCTTGCGACGGATGGTAGTGTGCGTCTTGGTTCCATCTTGATGCCGGGACTTCGGACCAAGCCGACTTGCCCTCCATCAGCAGATCCCATAATTTGGATGGACTCGTGGCGTCTCCGGGGAAGCGGCAGGCCATGCCAATAATGGCGATGTCTTCGTCGAGGCCGGTAATTACAGATCCCATGATGGCGTCTTTTCGATGTGACAATACACTTTACGCAAGGGGTGAGGAACGTAGGATGGGCAGGTTGTAGCTGATTGCCGGAGGAGATGGATAGCTTAGATTAAGTAGTCGAAAATACGAATACTACCCGAATAGCTATGAAACTATGCGGCAATTCGGTGTTCGATTCAACTGCTAATTCACATGATCGATCATCAGGCTTGTAGCAGTCCCTGGTCTGGAACCAAGCGCGTTGGCCCAGCGTAAAAACCCCTCATTCGAACCACCTCCACATTGAACGTGCTTTGAATGTGATTATCGTTCACGTCATCAATCAATAACATACTGCTCTCAATGGCATCTGCTCGAAGATCAGTCGGTGTAGAAACTTCATACAACAGATGACCTCGCGAGGCGCCAACAGCGTCTCACCAATAAGCCGAAGTCCTTACAACTACCCCCCTCCGAATGCAACAAATCCTGAATCGCCAAACCTCCACATGTACGAGCGGGGACTCAACCCATGCGAGCCCCAGACTACTCGAACACATGGTCCTCACTATGCGTTATCACGGTACCGATCATCACGGTACCGATCATCACGCCCATGCGCAGAGTTGGTATGGGTGAGAGAAAGGCTTACTACCAAGCATTCGGTCCCGCCTATGTGGGTTCATACAGTGCGTCGGATGGTGTTGGATTAAAACACTTATCCGTACCTCATATTTATAACGCCGTTATATTCTTTTCTCATTCCCAGCAGTTATTCTGGTTTCTGTCCGGTTTTCAACGCTTGTAGCCCGACTTACGCCGCAATGCAGAGCACAGAATGGCTGCTACCGCTGCCGGTACTCATGCCGACGGTATTCCTGATCATATATCTAGTTTATAATTATCTTCTCTTTCCAACCCCTCGCTCAATCGCCAAATTAAGGTTTCTCGACGGCGAACCCGGCGAGTGGGCGCCATATCTTCGGGCACTCTACCGGAATACCTTGGATCTGAAAAAGACGCTCCGCCTGCACCACACACAACACAAGAATGAGACGGTCCGTGTCCCCATCCTAGGGCCAGGCCAAAACAAGTTGATCTTGCTGCCCTCGGACGAGAGAAAATGGCTCGTGGATCAGCCCGATTCCGTCGTGAGCATGCATGAGCAGACTATCAACCATTTCCAATGGGACCTTGGCACCATTTACCCCACGCGAGATCACAACAAAGTGACGATCCACATCATAGCCACCAAGCTCACCCGGGAGATCGGCAATCTGATCCCGGCCCTCTCAGAAGAGCTGGATCTTGCACTGGCGAAGCATTGGGGTGACGAAGGCGGCGGCGAGTGGAGGGAGGTGGGTGTCTACGACACACTGAGGCCCATCGTGAGCCAGGCGATCAACCGCATCTTCATCGGAAAGAGACACTGCCGGAATGAAGAGGTGCTCGAAACCGGCTTCTCATACGCAAAAGTCATACCTCTCGAGGCGAACCTGCTCTGGCTGCTTCCGGCCCCGCTGCGGCGCCTCCTGGCGCCTCTGGTGACCTTGCCATCCCGCTGGTGCGAGAGGAAATGGTTCAAGCTGACCGTCGACGAGGTTCGCAGAAGATTGGAGGCCAGAGGCCACTCACAATACTCAAAGGGATCGGAGACAGATGACTGGCAGCACGACGGAGAAGCAGACGAGGCAGACTTGTTGAGTTGGTACATTGCTCATGGAGAATCACAGGGCGACCCGTACCTATTGGACCCAGAAGTCCTTTCAGCGCGCATCTTGCTTCTCAATGCCTTCGCACTGCACACCAACGTCTTTGCCATCGTACACATGATCCTTGACATCGTCGGTTCCGGCGCCGAGCAGGGCTCGAAGATCGTGGCCCAGCTTCGCCGAGAAATCAATCAAGTTCGCGCCGCTCACGGCGAAGAACAAGGCTGGAACAAGCGATCACTGGCCCAGCTCGAGAGGCTGGACAGCAGCTTCCGGGAAAGCCAGCGTGTCAACACCATCTTGAGTTTGGGTCCCTTGCGCATCGTGGGAAAGGACGGTGTCACTACGCCTTCGGGCGTCCATATCCCTCGAGGCTACCAAGTTGGCATTCCGGCCTACTCGATCCACTTTGACACGGATATCTACGGACCCGACGCGGAAGCTTTCAAGCCGTTTCGTTTCTACGACAGACGAAAGGACGCACGGGGGACTGGTGATAATCTGAAGGGGGCAAGGCAGGCGTGGGCCACCACGTCCGCGGACTATTTGTCCTTCGGGGCTGGTCTGAATAGCTGTCCCGGTCGGTTTTTTGCTTCCGGCATGTTGAAGGTACTAATGGCCAACATCCTGCTCAAGTATGAGTTTGAGTTCAAAGACAAAAGGCCAGAGAATCTGTGGTTCGGAACCAACCACATTCCGCCGCTCAAGGAAAAAATTAGAATCAGGCGACGGTCGGCGTTTTAAGACCAGAATAGAGTTTTCTTTCTTTTCTCTTTATCACGAATTAGATCACAAGGCTAGACATGAAGCAGCGGTGTGTAAATGCCTGGATATGAGAAACGGTATCTGGAGATCCATGGAAATGATGCTCCAGGAGGCCATCAAGTGATCTGGCACATGACGACCCATATCTATGAAGCCTCGACATCATAAAATGAAGGTTTTTGTACCTTCAATTTCTCTTTTTTTTCTTTCTCGAGGGGCCTCGCATCTGCAAAAGATACCACACATACTTACTCAACTTTCTATTTTTTGTTTCTCTTTTTTCCGGGCTCATAGACGCGGTTCCACACGTCCATCTTTATCAGGTTTCGTCCCCTTGAAGTTGAGATATACATAGTACATAGATATGCCAAGCTGGGATCACCCTGCCATGCAAGCCAAGGGTCTCTACGCATGCACCGTATTAACACATGGCTTCCACATGGGTCAGATTGATCCATTTCAGTTGCTCCCCGCCGCGGGGACTCGCCTGACAGGCTAACCCATACTTGAGTCATATGCTTTCTCCGCCCTGTGCTTTTGTCGTCTGACGTGGTCTTCCGATATCAGGTTTCTGTCCGCACTCCACATCATGAGACGTTGGGACCACAAGAGTAGCGGTAAATGCGCTACTAGTCAAACCCCATAAAATTTCCATCAATGTCATTGCTCTAGTTTGATAGCAGTCCCAGAATCTATTGACTGTTCACTGCCACCGAAAATCCAGGTACCGTGAATCACAGCGAGAGGGGAAAATACCTGACACATTCCGGCTGCCTTGGCAAATTTCGCGCCAATTTGGGCTACATGTTAGTCACCAATAAAGCGCGAGAGTACACGGAAACCCCTTAGGTGTTGTGTCAGTGGATCTCATTTCTCCGCAGTAGGGCGTTCTTTGCCATAGCAGGACAAGCAAACAGGGTTGTCTAACTACCGTATCTAATTGCTATATATGGGCTGTACATGATAACGACATAACAAAAACAGCCTTTCTTGTCTTGCTGAAAGCTTGAAACCCTAATCCTTTTGGACACCTTGACAACGGCAACCCTGAACATCCACAACGTCTTGGACAAATATTGTGCTTAACAGATTACAACTAGTTATGCCTATACGAATTTTATGTCTGCACGGCAGGGGTTCCAACACAGAGGTGGGCAGTTTTTGCTCAATAGCGCATACTCCAACACTACAAGCCACAGAGTAACTAATCCTTCATCACTCTTGTAGATTTTCCGGATGCAAACGGCAGGCATACGGAGCTTGCTGGAGCCAGAATATGAGTTTGAGTTTGTGGAAGGCCGGTGGCCCCATTTAGAGGGCAACTGGTCTCTGCATACAGTCGATTTCTCAAAGTCAAACGTAAGCATTCAGGGCTCTGTTCCAGTTTCTGGGTCCAAGGCCTCTCAAAACTCCCCGGTGTCTTTGCCTGTAGAAATGCCTACTTTAGTCTGGCCTTGAAGCATGGGGTTACTAACCACTACCGTGATGACGCATTTTAGCTGTATGGGTTTTACAACATGCTGGATATCGATGATATTCTGGCTACTGAGAACGAGCTCCGTCAAGTTATAGAGGACCACGGCCCATTTGATGGTTTACTAGGATACTCGTAAGTCGACGGAAACTCTCGTTCCATTGAATGAGATCATGATTCCGAAACAGGTGATGTTTTCGTCGATGCAGAAAATACTAACCTGAACTAGCCAGGGCGGGTCGATGGCTGCTCAAATTGCTATCCGACTTCTCATCGAGAACCCATACGCCACACCTCAGGAGTTACCAATCAAATTTCTGGTGCTCATTAACAGCGCCGTGCCGCCTTATATTATGCCACTGGGTGACCAAAAAGTCACGGACATACCCATTGAAGAAGCGCCAAAGCTGCGAATGCTATTCGACGTCTTCAAAGCGGACCCCGCCGAACACCTGGATAGAGTGCGGCCCGTAAAGCTTGCCAATGGTAGACAGGTATGCACAGAATGACTCGGCGACTTGCTTAAGATCCGCGGCGCCGACTGACGATGATCAAACTCATACCTACAGGCTCTCGTAAATAAAACGCACTACATGACGTTTTTTGATGAGGCTTGGGATGGCCACCCACTTTCCATGCCATCGCTGCACATTACAGGCTTAGGCGATGCCCCCGAATACGGCCAGCAACTGTTTGACATTGCTGAACCCGGCCAAGCGGATCAAATTGGGCATGTGTTTGGGCACGACTTCCCACGAGGGCTGGACATGAACAAGACAATCGCTAGGTCGATAAGGAAACTGGCGGAGAAAGCTTTGTAAAAAGATTGATACGGTACAGCAGCAATTCAATTTCATTCTATGCATAGCCCAAATCAATTTCGAATTTCACTCACTCATGGAGATCTGCAGCCAGGAGCCCGAACTCGGCAACCGTGGCCCCAGCACCGTCATCTGTCCAGCAGCCTGTGATCTCGAGTTTCGCAAATACACCACTCCATACAGCGCCAGTGAGCTGGATGGTGGTCATATTTCCTACGTATTTCACCACCGGCGAGTTCGGGATCCATGGCTTCGTGATACGGATGTCTTGGTCTGCAAGCACTGTACCAGGCTCGAAATCGGAGCTATTCGAGACCGAAACCTTGACATGCTTTGGCGGCCGCATGGCAAAGTCCAGCTGGATAGCTTTCAGCCGCCGCGGCATCTGCGAAGTTCCCAGATCCACCACCACAGCGGCCGTGACATCACAAGTACCGGACTGCCAAAAAGTGCCTCCGTATCCATCCGTGGCTGCGAACGCTAGCTCGCCATGTGACGAAGTTGCGTCGTGGCATTGCAAAACGTTGCCCGGCACGGAAACCTCAGCATCATACAACCTATTCGGCACTACTACGGTGTCATTGATGCGCAAGAACACCGTCCGCGCGTTGGGGTCGTCCACGCCTCGGCCGACGGTGATGGGCATATCCTCCTCGCCGTACTGGTCTGGCACCAGACCGTCGAAGTGAGATGCATCGCGCCTCGTGATAAACGTATGCGTACGATTCATGCGGAAGCTGACGACGGCGCCGTTATAATACTGGATGGGCGGTTTGAAGTCGCGGAGCTGCGGAGGGAGCGATGGATTTATCACCAAATTTCGGTGCGTGACGCGTAGGCCGAGAAATCCCGCCGTGAATATCTGCAGGAGGCCGCCGTGGCCCGTGAGGAACGGAAAAGCCGGGTTGATAGGGTTCCCGGTCAGGGGGTCCAGGACGTCAGGCTCGTCATCTTGCTGTTCGGAGTACTGGTACCAAGGGCCGCGGATATAAGGCTGGAACGATTTGACTAGGTATGTCCAGAAAGCGCATCCCGAGGTAGCCAGGGAGTTGGCCGTGATAGCATACATGCTCCAAGTCATGGCTGGACCGTGCGGGTCGGTGCGGACTGCGTAAAAGTCCATTGCAGCTCGGTATTTGTCGAGTGAGAAATTCCGCTTGTAGTCGTAGGGATAATGGGACAAGATGACGTCTGCCTGCTTGGGGAAGACATCGTTTGTCATGCCCTGAAATTCGAGCACAACGCCGTCGTCTGAGGTGGGTATCGACATGTGCTCGAGCTGGTCAAGCCAGTTGGTCTCGAGTGGGATACCTCGCTCATGACGAGCCTCCGAGGCTATTTGCAGAAGAGTGCTGACCGCGGTACTAGTAAATGAACCGTCTGCAATCCACATGTAGTATTCGTCGGCATCGGCCATCACGTCGATGCCCCAGAGGCCAGTGTTCTCTCGTCGTGTGAGAATATCGCTCAGGCCCGTGGCCACGCCGTCGATGACGTCCACAGCCCCGTGCTTTTCATACCAATTCCTGTCGCCGCTGGTGTTGCGGCCCATGGTCATGCTCAAGGCGATATCGGCATTGAGGTGATATTGGTACATGATGCAGGGTGCAGACATGTTGTAGCATTGTCCATATCGACCGCTTGTCCATGCATAGAGCATGCTCCCATCTTTTAGGTTGTGCCTCTTGGTGTTTTTGCGAGACTCTTCTGCCCTGTTTATGCGATACAGCGAAAACTGTCTTGCCAACTTGGGGTGCACTCCTTGGATGGCGGGCGCCACAAAGAGATCGGCGTCCCAAAAGATCTTGCCTCCGTATGTCTGGGAAACCAAGCCGCCAACGGCCAGAGAGTTACATGCGATGCAAGTGCTTGGGTTCTCATCTTGAGCCGGGCTCCATGGGATGAGGCTCGTGTAAAGGTAGTAAGCGGAGGAGATGGCTGTGATCTGCAAGGCTTCTACCACGTGCCCGCCACCGTTTATTGGAAGCGTTCCTGTCGCTGGGTCTCTAAAATCAGCGACGAAGTCCGGGCTCATGAACTTGCCCACTTCGACGCTGTGTTCCTCACGCAAAGCATGATACCCGCGGATTATGGCAGATGACACAACGCTCGAGACCACTGCCTCTGTGTCCGATCCGTAATGTTCTGTTGAGGCAATAGCTGCGTATTTGTAAACTGTCGCGGATTGCAAACCGGGTTGCACCAGATACCGCTGCGTCGGGGAGACAGACTGGGGGTCTGTGGTGGATGAGTTGGCTGAACCCGAGGTTCCTATGACATTGAGTGCGGAAAAAAAGTCGCTCGAGTATTCATCCCTTCTTTCAAGGCACAACAACTCGCCTCCAAGGGTTGATGACAGCACATACGCCATGACGTGGTCAACTCCCATTGGCGAAACAGCTGAATAGACCTGACTGCTGGCCTGATTGACGCCTGTCTTGACAGTTCTTGTGCGCAAAGCGGACTGGTTGTCTTGTCGATCAAGGATGTACACATTGTCGAGTCCTTGCTCACTGAAGATGGCCAGTTTCACAGCTGCCAAACGTCGTTCGACCATCGAGGCCAAAGACTCGTATGATATGAGAAATTTCTGATTCTCCACGCACGTCGGAGGGCTCCAGACATACGACCATGTGAGTATTCCGGTCTTGCTGGAAGTAAGACATAGCCAATTAGTGCCTTTATTCTTCCGCCGTGTGGGAAAGCCAGTGCGCGCACGCTTACTTACAAAGACAGCGTTGACTCGAACTCGGTGATCTCGGATACATCTACATCTCCGTTGAGGACACTGCCACATGCTTCAACAAGCAAGTCGGTAAAGTGCGGCACCCCGGAGATGAAACTCTCGCCCAGCTCCCCGGGCTCAAGTGTGCTAGCCTCGCTGCTCCAGAATCCCGTGACAGTGGCGAACGTCCTTCGGGGATTGCTATAAGACGGCCATCCTTCTGAATCATTTCGACGGCTGCGCTCATAGAACGGCCCCAAGGAACCTTGAGCGAGGCCAAAATAGCTATTTTCAAACAAAGCAGGTGCGTATTAGTTCCCATACACAACACGATAGGAGCAAACGGGGTTACCGGAGACCATGATTCTGACAGATTATAGTTTACATACCCGTTCGACTGCGGCAACCATGAAGTAAAAACCCCTGGCTGCGGTTTGGTTGATTTCAAGGTCCATGTATTATCATCCCAAGACACCCAATCCGCGTTGATATCAAAGCTTGCACTCGATGTAGGTGCTCCTCTTGCTGCCCTCAAGGAGTACACAGATGCTAAGAGCAAAGCTTTAAGGTTCATGGCAGGCATTCGAGGTCCGACAAGCCAAGCATTGGATTCCTAGAGTCAAGGTTCTGTCTATCTCGGATAACTCGACTGTGTAAAAGGCATCACCAGTGTGACCCGCGAGAATCAGTCGTCAATGGAGCTGGTGACCAGTAGAACACAATAAGACGAGCTAGTGGATATCCCATGTAATCCACTTGATCGCTTGGTAGTAGTCGGAGACACCTGGCTTAGTGGCAATCCACTTCGCCTGTCACGTCGGCCCGTGGGGCATGAGCTTCCCCCACGCCCCGCACGAAATCCGAAAACCTGCTAACATTTCACCTTGCCAAAAGAGTAATCAAATGTTTGGGGTGGTATTGGGCCTGTGGAGTGTAGTAGTAGTCTTGGGAGTGGGTTTCTAGGTTTAAGTAGCGTGCATTCGTGCAGACCTATACGGGTCCTTTGAGGGATATACATGTAGCTGCGCACGAGTCACGACATGTGCAACAGTTGGACTTTCAACCCCATCACGCAGGCGATTACGAGTCATACAAGTGAGACTCTTATCATGGGGAGTTTCATGTAACTATTACAAGCGCATTGCTATCCTTGTTTCTATGTCTCTGTGACGGCTACCTGTAATTGTGACGGGACTTCATTGTGAGCAAATTATATGTGTCATTTGGATTATTTCATTTTACTAGGGCTGCAAGACATTCTCCGAGACAAATCTAATGCCAATAATGCCTAGCGTCTGAACGCTAGTAAGGTCTCTGTATCTTGCAATAATTGATAGCATCAAAGTGGCATTCACTGCGCAAGTCTAACTCGCTACGCTGTAGGTGCTCAGATGGATCCAGCAAAGTTCCTTTAGTGACACAATGACTGTCATCTTGGGTTCTTTTGCAGTTATAAAAGCACTTGGAATTGCGTTTCTGCTGGCCTAATTCCCCGTCTTCATATATTTTTCCCACTCGAAAAGTTCCTTTGCCACAACAAACAAGATTGAGTTTTTGTTTGGTATCTTTACCTAAAAACCCCTCTCCCCTTCCAAGGCCTAGCCATACTGATGCAGATGAGCTGCAGGCTATTGTCTCTTGGGTCCACAAGTGAGATCGCGCGGGAAAGCGGTGTCGCTGGGCAATATATTACCTACGCAGCTGGTGGGCTTCGAGCCGAATGTTTCATCGTCAACGTTACATTGGATGTAAACGTTGAGGACATTCCTTATGCACAGTCTTGGGACAGGAACGGGAGTAGCCGCTGTCAAGAAAGTATGTGTGTCGTAACGTCGGCCGGTGCGGTAAGAACCTAAAGTGACCTAGCAAACTATAATTTAGGTTAGAGTTTTGATATGCATCGACTTGTGGCCTTCAACGCGTAAGGTTATCTGACGCCAAGGAAAATTCCCGGCTACATGGTTTGGAAATCAGCCCTTACCAGCTCCTCTCAGCTTTGCGTAACGTGCAGAATAAACAAGATAGGTAGATTAGGCTCAGCTTCCTACACGTTTTCTGCTCAACCAAGGTTCCGGCGCTGATAGACTTCAGCCGAAGACACCGAGGACGCGCGGATGCTTATCCCTGAGGTCACGGCTACTGCTGCGGTCGTCCTGTTCAATACCTAGGCGTGGTACTTTCTGGGCCTGAAGGGTGCTGGCTAATAACATGCAAATACCCATGCAGTCATGCTGAAGCTTCGGCGCAGTATTAATGCTAAAAAGAGCGCGATTGTCATGGTCTGATTGCCATAACGTTGTCCCTGGCCGAGATGATATCTATAGTTTGCCACACCTTCATTCTTGTCATACTCTTAAGATGACCAGTACGTTCATTACAAACTCAACCCGGCACCATGTCACAACACCACCGCGGCTTGGCCGAAAGCCAGTATAGATTTTACCGTGATTTTATTGTAGCCCATGTCTGCGGGTAAGCCGCAGTGACACGTTCCCACCCGTACACTATATCATAAGTCTACAAGATTAAATCACAACAAGAAATCAATATCATCCTCTGCATCCATACAAAACTTAAAAGAATCCCGAACTTTTGAGAGTGGTTGCTTTGCCTAAGTGTACTCCAGTTCTGAAACGATTACGTCTCAGAAAAATACTGGAATGCTTGTTTTCTTAATGCAATGCACTACATTAATTATCTTACTGCTTTCTAGCATAGCGTCGTTTCCTACCATATCTTCTTCACGTCAGCTGGTAATATCCTTCAGGTGTTGAAGACTCCTTAACACTCCGACAATGTACTACATCACTTCAGACGTCCTCTTCAAATAGAAATGCGAACTGGTCTCGCTCTAGAACATCGTGCTCAAGCGACAACGTCATATTTATGTTGTGTCTTTCGCTGATCCACCACATCTTCCCGTGGTCTGCGCCCCTCCCTGTTCGAAGGCTCGGCAAAGATTGAAGATAAACATGGCGGACCTAGAGCATTATGAGTTTGTTAGTCTCTTTTTTCTCGTTTCTATGAAAAAGCTATGCCGCGTTTGCGTTCAGCTGTTATTACAGACCCTTCTAGACGACCTGAAAGCATTTTGCCGCAGGCTTAATACTCTCTGCCCTCTTACCTTTGCCCCCTCCGGCATTAAACATTAACCTGTCTATTTAGACCTAATTTCGGCACTAAGAACTTCTAGTCCATCACCTTAATTAGGCGCAATGCGGCTATTGCCTTTTGCCAGAGAACACTGTGGGACTTAACGACAGCGGGTTGTTAACTAAGGCAAGCACCCAGACAGCAAAAGTCACAAACTACAAGGAGTATTGCTAGACTGCTATATAGTCGCATGATGTAATCCCGTTTCCCAGTAGTCCAAAGTTACGGATGGATAATATTGGAACTCATCAATGCCTCGCGTGTGAAAGATTGTCTTCAGTGACGATACCAATATCGGCCCCAAGACAATCTGACTATTCGACAATTCCAGGTTTAAGTATCCTTATATCTGATAAGGCACTAGACGAAATTCATGTACATAGAACTATAGAGGCATGGAACAAGGCGAAAAGATGAACGGCACTGAGGGCGAACCATGTCTACTATTTTATCGAGTTGACCCGTCTGATTCTAATATCTTTACCTTTGCATATGCTACAAAAGTAATGTTGTTCTGTGGAACTAAGTTACGCATAGTGCTGTGTAGGATTCGATGCCCTATAATGGCAGGGAATCTTGACTTTATGGGACCGGCCGAGAAGCTCTCTTTTCATACAGAGTGAACGACATCGTGCCCTCTCCAGTGGCCTCGCTTTAGGGTAAAATTGAGGCAGGGTGTCTATCAAAAGGTGTAAGTCCTTGAAAACTAAGTCGCAGACGTAGTTTGAGGAGCCCAGAAATGTGAAGAATACCATCCGCCTGCTTCACCGCCGCTTTATCTTATTGTAATCCCTTTTCGGTTGGCTGCTAGATATGGTTCGGATCAAACCTATTGTTTGGAACGGAAAGTCGAGCGATAGAAACGACTACAACACAAAGAGTGAGTAGGTACGGAGGATACGTGCCCGGATATCAACTTCGACCTCGATCAGAAGCAAAACGATCGCTAGACGGCGAGCGACTGCCGTAGTCCCAATACGCGCGAAGTGAGCTTCAACCGGAGCCCTTGAGCAATATGGCAGGAGCTATCCGTTTGTCCCTGGAATCGGCCATAGAGGCTCAGGCGGCGGTGGCAGCGGCGGTGAAAAGATGATAAGCTTTACCAGCTGAGCGGTGCCAAAGCCCACGTGTGCCTCCTGCACCGCCTGTGAAGGCCAGTTTTTCAAGGGATATCGGTGTAACCCGAGGATGGCAATACGATTCTAACAACGATGGTTGATATCCTACCCGCTTTCAACGTTGACGATGACTCCTCGGGCCCGGGAGGTTGATCCGTAGCATCGAGACTCGTAGACGTTTTCTTTCAAGGTCATTGGAGTGATAGAGAGTAACTCGGACCTCCCACCGTTGCTGGCACCGCTCAGAGCTCCGGGGTTCCAATACTGGTGGGAAGGTACCGACGGCAACAAACTGGGCGAGCTCAAGCGCAAAGTGTCCAGCACATCGGCAGTGAGGAAACGGACTATTGCTTTGGCCCTGTAATTATTACGTTTATAATTGCTCAACTTCTGGCTGAGCGGCGAGAACAACTGGATTGTTTGTTCAGTAGGTGACGATATTTGGTGCCTTCATTCCCTTTGCTATACATCTTTACTCAAAAAAGACCTGGACTTTGATTAATGCTTTTGTTCTTGAGAACTACAACTACTAATATACTTCGGATAACATTTCTCGCCTATGCTCAGGGAGAGAAGTGTTTAGCAGCTCAATTGTCCATTAAACCACGCAACTTATCTATGTTAATCATAGTTCTCAAAAGATTCTCGGTCTACCAACGCACCAGACAAGTCACAAGATGGCAGCTGTAAATCAAATCCCACTTCCCGTATCATTTCCCCATCTTTAAACGTCTGACAACCAATTCATCGGGCGACCAAAAGCGAGGATAAAATAGTGCACTGAAACTATGAACAAGACTTGATAGTGATAGGACTTGCATATGCGGCATCTCGGTGTCATACCCATCTTCTCCGCTTCTGAGTTTGCCTTCTCCGCACGTGCTCCGCAAGGGATTATATTCAAGTGTGAATATATCCGTCAAGCGCTACCCACTGATTCGCTACCACGGCTAAAGTCCAGAACAAGGGGCCAACGCTAATGAACGCGGAATTCTGCCGGTAGAAAGCTCAAGGCCAGTCTCTGTTGCACCTGCGGCCCAATAAGTACTAGCTGGATGCTAGCAATCAGGCTTTGCCCATGGTCTACTCCTCCGTCTAACACATGTTTGCGTAGGGACTAGGTCTACAAGTGCAATGGTTCGCCCATCGATACCTGCCGGCTGATCAGTCGCCACGGCTAAAGTCCAAGATGAGGGGCCAGACTCCACCAAGAGCGCCAAAATGCCGGAGCCAGGTCCTAAGATGGGCTTCCTTCGACAGCCATCTTCAGTGTCATGGTGGACAGGTATTGCTCCATTTTGCACGTCGTGGGGTTATTTCTAATGGTTATTGTTGTTGATAATAATGGCCCGGTGCCGCAGCCGCGGCCCCGCACTGAATTGTGTAAATAGGCTTCGTAGTCCTCGTATGATAATACCGGATTGAGTGCTTGCAACCTCAATGCATAATATTCTACGCAGATAGGAATGCCATACACTGAAACCAATAATGGGTTTTCACGTCAGCTTAGCTGTAGGGCTCGCCTGCGTGGCTGGAATCATCGCCGATCCCACTACGGTCTATGAGAAGTTCAACAGTACAAGTAATTCTGCGACATCCCTGACGTTGCTCTATCAGAACAACCTCAATTTCACAGACGATGTCAACCATATCGGAGCAATTCTATTGGACTACATGACCTTGGCCAGCGGTGCCAAAGCATGTGTCGCAATCGGCGAGTCCCTGATACCACAAGCGGCCATTCAAAAATACGCTTCCGACTTTAAGCATTCTCTCGCATACAGAGCCTATGCTGGCCGGGCTAGTCAGCGTCAATCATACATGATCATGGATGGCACCCTGACCGCCGACCAGACATCAGGGGAACTCATCTTTGGACGCGCCCCTTGCGGTAACCAGACACTGCCCGTGCTTTGCACCCAGTCCAGCAACCAGAACATGGCCGAAAACGCCGTTGCCACCGGCGCCAACCAGATTGCCGTCACCTCGAACGGCAACACTTTCGTCGGGTTCCGAAACCAAAAGTCGTTCCGTTTCCAGGGCATTCCTTTCGCCGACCCGCCGTCACGATTCAAGTACTCGACATTGTATTCCTCCAAGGGCCGGGTCATTAACGCGACCGCATACGGTCCCAACTGTGCGCAGGGGTCTGACCCTACAAGTAGTGAGGATTGTCTCTTTGTAAACATTCAGACGCCCTATATCCCAAAAGCTGGCTCTACCAAGGATCTCCGTCCGGTGCACCTGTGGATCCACGGCGGTGGATTCACCGGCGGCAACGGTGCCGACGCGGGCAGCGACGGCGGCCAGTTAGCTTCGCGCGAGGATATTGTTGTTGTAGAGATCAACTACCGCTTGAGCACACTCGGCTTCCTGGCCGTGCCTGGGACAAATATCACCGGCAACTACGGCATTGCGGACCAAGTGGTAGGTATGGAATGGATAATCAAGAATATTGCTGCTTTTGGCGGCGATCCGGAGAAGATCGTCATCAGCGGTGGATCCGCCGGGGCCGGCTCTGTCCGCACACATCTAGGATCTCCAAAATCCATTGGCAAGTTTCGCGGCGCCATAGCTATGTCCAATCTCGGCGGTGGTGTCGACCTCGGGCTCGACGGCGATTATGGTACAACCTACAGCTCCTATCTTTCTATCGCGGACTCGTATAATCGCTCCGCTCCTCTCTTCTCCGAGGCCGGCTGCAATCAGGCTACTTTGGAGGCCCAAATAGCGTGTCTGATGACCATTCCCGCACAGACCATAGTTAACCTCGCAACTGTCGCCCGCTACGTTGTGCAGGATGGCGTCTATGTCACGACAGAAAACCTGAATGTTTACAACAACAATGGCTCGACTGCCAGCGTCAACACCATCTGGGGAGTTGCCGCAGATGATGGTGCCTCCTTCTCAACGTACTCAGCTGGTCCTATTGCAAACCAGACAGAAGGACTTATGGTTGGCCTCGGAATCTCCAAAGCATACGCCCAGGATATCATCAACTCCGGCCTGTTTCCTTACTACGACACTGGGAACGCAACTCTCGACTCCTTTAATGTCACCCAGCGTGTTGCAACCGACAAAACGTTCCGCTGCATCGATCAGGCCACCATCTACGCCGGTGTTCACTCGGGGGCCTTCAAGACTTCCTATTATTACCAGCTGGAACGCGCATATGGCGGCTACAACCCAAACAATGTGGACGGGATAGGTCCGATCGAGCCGGGATTTCCGAAAGGCAACCCAGAGAAGCCGTACTTCCGTCTTCACGGCGGTGATATGCCTTGGGTGTTTGTAAGTGGTGTCCCACACGATACTGTGCCAAAGCTTGCTGACGTTTTGTAGGCAAACCTCTACACTATTCGAAATGACAATGATCTCAAGTCAGTTCAGCTCAGCTCCGCGTACTTTGCCTCCTTCGTGCGCGAGCTGCAGCCGAACCCAGATGTCGCGTACCTCTCCGTACGCGGGTATACTAACACTAGTGCCGGTGTCGCTGCCAGCGGTCTTTGGGAGCCGGTCAGTGGCTTGGAAGGCCCGATCAAGAGGCTTGACGTTGTCTCCAAGACGGACACCTTCCAAGACATGGAACAGTGCAGTTTTCTGAACTACAGCGTAAGCTACTACGTTGACGGGGGACTGAAGAAAGCTAGACTGTTTTAGATGAATCATACTGCTTTAGGATTCCAAAACGGTGTTCACCATTCTGAGTCTGGCTTATTTCAGTTGCACTGTCCGATGATACACAGTGCTTTCCTCATCGCCAATATTATACGCGGTAGTGCACATTGTTTAATTGAATCCATTTGGTCATTCAAACGCTTCAGAGAGGTAGTGCGTTTTTGCTTGTATTTCGTGCAGATAATGACTGGCAGGCACACTGAAAGCTGAGAAACCCATCTATCAATGACTTCATAAATCACAGCCTTGGGACCCCGCCCTAACAATTAGCATAGAATAGATGTAGAGCTAAATTCTTCAGGTGTGGTCAGTGGCGGCGTTGTCTCCCGCGGTCCTTAACAGGCCTATCATCCAACCAATAATTGTCCATCCAGTGGCTTGACTCCTCAGCCACATTTCGACAGTACGTACCTCACGCCAATGAAGCGCACCGCCCCAGCTCCGCCACATCAGCCGACTTGGAAGATGGCGGGTGACCATCAGCTGACGTCATGTGACTAGCCAAGTCTCCCATCAAGTAATTAATCAGGTGTCAACGCGCCTGCAAAAAGCGGTGTTTCCCCGTTGATCCAAGATATCCCATACATATCACAACCAAACATCACTGATAGAGTCAATTCCTGCTCTCCGTTGTCAACTAGTTAACAATGTCTGCTCTCAACCCCACAAAACCAAACAAGGCGCTTCTGCACGATGATCGGCAGGCCCAGTCCGTCTTGGACGCTCAGCCGAGCCCCGCGCGGCCGATGGGTGAGTCGATACACACACATCCGCGCTTCCCCATCAACCAGGAAGATCGACGTCCATACTGACTTACCGGACACATTCACAGACCCTCTTCGCCCACAGCACGACGACACTCACCTGAACCTACGGGGCGGTCACGACGGCCAAGGTGCCTGTCCTGGCCGCTTCTGCTTCATCATTCCTTGCCCGCTGCCCTGCAACTTTTGCGTATTCCCTTGCCCATGCTGAGTCTCTGGCAAGTCATGAAAAACTATGTTCTAGGAGGCGCGCAAAGATGAGCTTGAATCTAGGGGAGACAGGGAATGGTGGAGACGGTAGACATTGCATCCAAGCTACCGCTCGCCACAGGTCTGATGGAGGTTTGATTGGCTCAGCTGTATTTTCTTTTTGAATTTCCCGCATTACCAGAATACCACGATAGAACCGCAACGATACCAGTCCCTAGTTAATGCTGCGTATCACGTCTCTTTTCCCATGCCAGCAAGCTGGAAAGAATCAAATCCAGCATGAGTACAATAAGGATGAGACTGGAAGTAAACATGAATTTCGAACAAAAGATCGGACCTCCTTGTGGGCCGATGACCCGGCTTGTACCCTTATGGGTGACTGCTCAACGATGACGTCAGCAAAGATCGTCTACCGAGCCCGACCGAGGTATACCGAAGTTTAAGCTCAGCTTTTCGGTGAAAACAAGTTTTACAATGTACCTTGGCTACTCCCTCTCTCACTCATTCTCTCACTCACTCACTCACTCACACCCACCATTGGATAGAGCTAGATCGGATAGATAGCACATACCATCGAGCTCTCAATTCTCATAAAACGGAGAACGATAGTAACTCTCATGTCTCGCATTGGCCCTGCTGGCCGCCGCCGGACTGCCCTACGAACCTATTCGCGTCGGAATCTAGGAGGCCCCGTCGCAAAGCCCGCTGCTATTGCTGCTAGGCGGAAGCTACCGGAAAACTCAAAGGAGGTCACCCAAAGCCCGCCCCTGTCAAGGGAACGGCCGGTTGAAAAGCCTGCAGCAATCACTAGGCAGCCCCCGACGCAGAGGTCAATCGGGCCGGCAAGGAGCACGGCAGCGGAAGCAAGATCAAGGTCATCACGTACGAAGACACAGACAAACGCCGTTGAGACCGACACAGTGGGCGTCTCCCAGTCAACAGGTCCGCATGCGTCTTCCTTCTTCGAGTTCTAGTGGCTACTGACAAAATTTAATCTAGATTTTCGAAAAGACGACGAAATCGTCGGCTGGAAATTCAACCGGGCGACAAAGTCCGTAGACCTCATCACCTACCGCGCAAGCGATGACTCGAAGCGGCTCGTTCCAGAGTCAGTTGTCCAGCAGAAAGTGGCTCAAAAGGTCTATGCCTATTGGGAATCCTTCAACCAGCCACGTGAGGTCACCGTGGGTTCCGATTACTTCCATATTTTTGCCATTATTGATCAAAAGAACTCCAAGCTGAAGGTTCAGTGGGTCGGGTACACGGACTCCGCCGACGACACCACATGGGAGACCAAGGCCAAGGTCCGCAAAATGAACCCGACGCTGCTTACCGACTACCTCGCGCGACGTGAGCGGGCGGCTGGCACTCAGACTACAAGCAAGCTACGCAGAGGGCGGATGTCTGGGGCGGCCATCGGCTAAGGTGCACAGCGGCCTTGATGAGAAGGTGATCTGCAGACCCAGGCAATTGGCCATATGTAAACGATTCATGAGACTCATTTTACGATAGATGCTGATTTCCTGCAGATATCAGGCCTGGCTGATCTCTTGGATACTACTGTTGACACTTAATTCTCAAAACTCTCGGGACCAAATTATGATTGTGATCCGATATGATAGATGGTGGCTAATGAACGAGATGAAATAAACTGTGCTAACTATCGGATGAGCAACTGGACCTTGTTACTATGTATCGTCAGGGACATAAAGGGAAGCGACATCTCAGCTCATGAATACAACACTTATCAGAGTAAGAAGTCAAAATAGGCCACACGGTTCGGTTTCCAACGCCAAGTTGCCCAGGCTCACTTGCAACATCATGTTTCACGGAGTTGCAGCCACCGGATTAGATTCTTTTCCTGGGCCGGTGTTTTCTTGTAATGTATATTAATTCCTGTCTACTGTCGGCTAGATTTAGTCTCCATACCTTCAACCCTGCTGATGTCAGTTGTGACCTCCTGCAGGTTACAGCTTGTAAAGTGGTACGCACGTATATTGTAACAGTCCTCTGGTCCAGCAGAGCAACTCGGCCGAAGCATTTAATTCGCGCAGCAACCGTCCAACTCGCATTCCACGTTGTTATTGGGCTTTCCGGGGCAGAAGTTCAGTCTAGCACAAGCACCGCAGTCAACTCCGCGACGGCCGGGTTGGCTGAGCTCGGGAGGGACGTTTGTGTCAAGAGCCACAGCGGCGACGGAGGCAGCGAACAGGAAGATGGCGGAGAATCTCATTTTGGGCGGAGGTTTTGAACAGTAAAATGTCTGCTTCGTGTATTCAGAACGGTCATAAAAGGTGTCACAATGATAGACAGACAAGAGGATTTATGTGGAAACCTCCTGTCTTGGGGGGTTCTCAGCTTGTTCTTATACCGTTCTTTTTCCCCTTGTTCTCGTTACAGAGCCCTTAACTGATAAGTCTATATCAACCTAACTACAGCAGTAGGGTGGTTTTTGCGGACATAAACGCGTACAATTTATTTGAGACGGCGGACTATACTTTAATGGCGATTCTGGAAAGGCTCCTGAGTCGTGTAGGTTACAGGCTGGTGGGGCTGCCGCATATTTCCCTGTGAAACAAGTCCCTGGGGCATTATCAAAAAGTTTAAATGTAGCTCGTAAACTCAGCATATTTTACAGCTGAGTTGTGAAGAGTTGATACTGCTCTGCCGTGAACAGAGGTAGCTTATACTGTTAATGTTAGCGAAGGAGGGTTACATGCATATAAGTCGTATAGCTCTTACAGAATTGATGCAAATTGCACAACGCTGACGATCAGTCTGGACAGTGTACGTAAAGCTGATGGGTATTATTTCGTGGCAAACACTGGACAAGCAGGTTACTTGTCTGAGAGTGCCGCTACACAACAATGCCAAAGAAACTGGGAAGCCCTAAAGAGGGAGACTGAGTCTCTGCAGCACCCGCTTAGTGACTACTAACCGCAACTGGTTTCTCGCCATGCGAAAAGGGTTAGATCTGAAATATATACTCATGACCATGTCTCAAATTATATTTGCACGGAATTGCCACACAAAGTTTCTTCCATCAGACATTCCCACACTAACTAGTTGCAGCTGGCTGCAACAACACCGTAGACACTCGTTAAATTCGTACAAAGCTAGTACGCTAGCGTAGCAGGGCTACAAGCTGGGCCAATCTTAGAAGGCGGTCAACCTGCCCATCTACTTGACTACCACTAGATCCCTGTTTCTGCTCTGCTAGCACGCTAGCTCTTTTCCAGCGGCCGCTATACCCCTTGCCGTTAACCCGGCTACTAGCGATGCACGAATTCAACGAGTGTCTACGGTATTGGGTTCAAGATTCCAGGGATGGTAATCATCGTCGCCGGCCTTGCTTGACTCTCCTCTCTTGATTGAACTCAACGACCCCACTTGCGAGCCATCCGAAAACGCCGCATCCTCCTCAACTATCAACACCACCATCTTTTTCAAACTATCACAACAGTTACCATATATCGCCAAACAACGCCATTCCCCCCCACCCCCCCAAGATACCTTCTTTAACCCATCATGAAGCAGTATACCCAAGTCAGGCTCCAACAGGCCCTTGCCAAGGTGCTGATAGTAGCCCTATTCGCCAGGCAGCCCAGAAATAGGGTATACCATACTAGTCACTCTAATACTAATACCATAGGCAGCAAAGCAGAAATACTACCTTCACCTATATACAGCACTTATCCTAGTCATAGAAGGATTGTTGGCATATGGGTGATGTGGCCGGAGGCGGTGGGTCACGTGACACACCGCCTACCGGCAGAATCCCCACCCTTGCCTATACGCAAGGGTACTACTACACTTATGCTCCTACTTCACCTTGTTAACTAGTTAACTATTAACAACTATAAATTTAACTACCTTTTCTTAACTTTTATAATATTATAAGATAAGGATCCCTATTAAATAACTAATAAAAACTAATATTAATTAATAGTTAATTATTACTAATAACTAGTAATTAATAAGGCTTACTATTATAGAAGTTTACTTAGCCTACTATAACCTAGTAGACTACTAACTAAGTTAAGTATTATTAAGGCTACCTTACCTCTATAAGAAATACTATAGTGTCTATTATACTATTAAAACCTTTTTAATAAGTAAAAATTTTTTTTATACTAACTATAGTACTATTAAGAAGGAACACTTAAGTAATAATAATTACTACCTTATTTAACTTTTCTTTTTATCTTTATATTTACCCCTTTAGAAAATTATCTTTATTTACCTTATATATATAAAACTAACCTAGTACTATCTAGACTTATAAGTGTAAGTTATATTAAGAAGAAAACTTATTACTTAATTACTACTATAAAAGTTATATAGTAATTACTATTAATTAACCTTAATAACTAACTTTATAATAAGTTAATCTAGTAGTACTTTATACCCTAAGGTATCTACCTCTATAGTAAGATATATTAACTATAAGAAGTATAGCTAAGAAATCCTTCTTAATAAGTAAGACCTTTTTACTATTTACTTTTACTTTACCTATTATATAGCTAAATAGGCTAAATATACCTTTATAGATTATAAGCTCTAGAGGGACTTTTAATATTACTTTAATAAATAAAATAAAGCCTTCTTTAGTGCTATTAGTAAAATACTACTATTAATTTTTTATAACTTCTTTCTTAATTAAGGTATCTTTATACCTAAAGACTATTAATAAATTACCTTATACCTTATTACTATTATTAATAATAATAAGTTTTATATTTAGATAAATAAAGAAGTTAAAAAGGTATAGTATAAGTTAGTAATATTTAATAGGCTTATTAAAATATATAATAGCTTCTTAAATAATATCTAATATAGTTATATTAGCCTAGAGTAGTATAAGTAAAAATAGTAATAGTAACCTATTACCTATATAACTAAATAAAGCCTAGTAATATTTATAAACCTTAAGTAATAACTAGTAATAATATAGGCCTAACTTAATAAATAAGTATAAAAGTTATATTAGTAAAAGTAGTAAACCTTAGTATTACTATAGTAGACTTAATCTATATAAGATTTACTACTTCTCCTATATAACTTAATATAAGGACTATTTAATAAAGTAATAGTCTATTATCTTTCTTTATCTATTATTAATTATAGTAAGAACCTTTTACTTACTTATATACTAATCCTATAGAACCCTAAGGCATAGGATAGCTACTACTAATTAAGAGTAGTACTACTAGTAACTATCTTTCTCTTAGTAATTAGGTACCTTAACTAAGATTATTACTAATAAATCTAAGTATACTAGTAAAATATATAATATATTTAATATTAAGTTAAACTTATTTTATAATAACTATAGTAAAATTAGTATTAAAAGACACTAAATAGTATTAGCCTTTTTATTAATACTTAAAGGTAAAGCTTTTACCTTTTATTTTACTTAAATTAGTAGTAAAAATATCTAAGACTTTACTACTATAGTTACCTAAATAAGAGCTTACTTTAAGAGCCTTAAGGCTATTTAAATATACTTTACTAAGTAGTAAAATACTACCTTTTACTATATTATATATAATAACCTTAAGAAAGTAAGCTTAAAGTGCTTAAGAAGCTTATTAATAAACTTACTTTTATCTAATAAGTGCTACCTAATAGCTACTATAATAATAAAGTCCTTTAATCCTAGCTATTAAATACTTACTCTAGAGTTTATAAGTGTAAATTATACCTATTTAATCTAGTGTCTATATTAAAAGAAGTCTATAACTAACTATAGTTATTAGTAAGTACTATAATAAAATATAATAATAAGGTTAGCTAGTACTAGGTAGACCTTAATAATTAATACTAGGTTAACTATACCTACTATAGCTAAGAGTATAACTAGTAGTTTAGTAATAACTATAGTAATAGTAACTATTATAGTAATAATAATAGTAACTATAATACTAAGAAGTACTATATCTACTATAAGCCTAGTTATTAGTTAATAAAATATACTACTAATAAGTAATATAAGGTATATTAATAATTTAAAAATAACTACTAGGTAAAAGACTCTTTACTAACTATATATTAAACCTTTCTTACTAGCTATAAAGGTAGTTACCTATAAAAAGAAGAAGATAATAAAGATAATAAAGACCTTAGTTACTACCTTTAAGATAACTATACTCTTAAAAGTAGTAAAAATAAACTAAAAGGTAATACTTTTTATACCTCTACTATATTCTTTAGTAGTACTACCTTTAGTAGTAATAAGCTTACCTTTAGCTTAGCTAACTAAGCTATCTATTACTAGTTAATAAAGGATAACCCTAGTGTAGTATTATTAGATCTAGCTACCTCTTTTATATTAGATTATTACTTATTAGGTACCTTTTAAAGTATTTTACCTAATATAAGTATAGTAATCTTCTCTACTACTAGTTACTTATAAGTAACTATATTATAATAGATCTAACTATTAGTAACTATTAATATAGCTACTACTAGCTAAGTAAAGATCTAGTTTAGTAGTAGTAATACTATTTACTTAAAGGGCACTATTATAGTTAGTATACTATTTAGGCCTATTACTTTTTATATAATACTTATAAATATACCCTTTTTACTTTACCTAGTAAATATAGATTAACTACTTATTTACTTTAATAACTTTATAAACACCCTTTAATAAGGTAATATTATAGTACTAGTTATATAAAAA